GGGGGACGTCGTGCTGTTACTGAATTTGCTACCAAAACATTTATCCAATCCTCTTACCACAGAATTCAAATGTTCTCAAGAACCCAAGGCTTTTATGTTGGAAAGCACCACCGGAAGTCTCTTTTCCTCATCGGGTCTTACTTGACAATGGTCCACCGCACCCACTGGAAGCTGGAGGCTGCATGGGAAGCCGGAGCATCCCTGTTTAGTCACCCACCGACCCAGCGTCACTGAACAAAAAGAAGCGTCGCCAAAAGCCTCATGTTGACCATTTGAGCAGACATGGGATGCAGGCGGGGAGGGATCGGTCATCCATCACTGAGTTAGCGGACTGGGGCTTTTTTAAAAATTCAACACTACATCCAACACCATGGCTAAGCAGTACGATGTGCTCTTCCGACTCCTGCTCCTCGGAGATTCTGGGGTTGGGAAAACATGTTTGTTATGCAGATTCACGGACAACGAATTTCACCCGTCTCACATCTCCACCATCGGTAAGACTCTGCTTTACCACCAGGAGTTATTATTTTAATTGTATGAATCACTTGCGTTAATTAACAACCCCGTTCGTTTGCACGGTCTTTTTTTTTTTTTAACGTTTTCTGTTGATGTCGTTTGCGCATCACCCTTTCTTTGTGGTCATTGCATTATCTGTTTAAATTCCACTGAATAGATTTGATGCGTAAATTACAGAGGTTTTGTCTAGATTTAAACAGAGTGTATTCACCCGGAATAAAGAGAGTGTTAACTATAAAATCAGCGTGATTGCATTGGTTGGGGTAGCTCTGAGGAGGAGGGTCCAACACTTAGCAGCCATGCATATGAGTTTACCAACTATCAGCACTTGGCACTGCTACAGTCCAACCATGTGCCATAAAAAAAATAACAGCAAAGGGACACTTTTCATATTTGGGAATAAGTTGCGTTTTGCATCTGGCACTGACCAAACTGTGCTCTGGGTCTGTTAGGGGGCTCCTGATCGAAATGATTGACAGTTTTATTTCAGTGCGTTATAATAAGAATAATTAGTACATGGATACCTCATGTTCAGTTTCACTGTACACATTATACAAAAGAAGACAAAGTCTTATCAAATAATTTGGTGTGATGTTTGTAAAAATCATTATTGCTGAACCCCTGATTCAGTCTCAAGTCCTTCCTGCTAAACCAGTATGAAACAAATATGACTAGAGTGGATTCGTCAGAAAATGAAACCGGCAACCAAATTTTGACAATTGGTTTAACGATTTAAGTTTGTTTTCAAGAAAAACATTTGATGTTTTATGATGTTGCATAGACCAAATGACTAATCAAAAAAGGAAAACAAATGCTGCTCCTCTTTCTTTAAATTCAGAGTATATAGAGCAAACCAACAGTACCTCTTCCTACCTTTGGTCATGGATTTGCCACGTATACCTGAAGATGACTGTTGACTCAGCAAAGCTGAGCCAGCCTCTTTCCTCATAGTTAATATGGGCTATGCAGTCCATCTCCCTCCATATTAGAATTCGGAGCATGACAGGCGCATTACCAGGCTTCACTTTGAGGTGATGGAAATAAGGATGTACAGTAAGCCGTTGTTTTTATTTTTAATCTGCTGCAGTTGTGTCTCTTATCTCTTCTTCTGTGGCAACTGGGCGGCCGTGTGTGTGTATGTTTGTGGGTGTGTTTAGTTAATAGAGACGTTTTCTCCCTTTCTGATGTTCAAGCTCTCAGTGAACTCCTGCAAACACCCCGCATCCACAGCATGAGGCTCAAACTCAAGTTTTAGGCACTTCTGCCTCGTCATACTGCACTTAAAAGGCTTTTCATCTGCTCCAACCAGTAATAATATATACTCATAACGCTTACTTAGACTGAAGACTGCTATTTCAAGTCGTGCACCTGTATGGCGCTCTACAGGACACTTCCTCCCAGTATAGTCGCGTTCATTTAATTGCAAGCCTGTCTGCATGTAGTGATCTGTTTGTGCTTTTGTTGCAGCGTAAGTGTTCACAAGGCAATGGAGTCCAGATGTTGGCATTCGGCCAAATAGTTGTGTCCAGCAGACTGTAACAGACGTGCAATAGTTCAAACTCAAAAATAGTTCAAACTAGTTCAAATTTGGTGCTTGGCTCAAACTATGACAGGACAAGTTTGTCCACTGTTTCCAGGGTTGTTTGTGTCCTGGGCTATAATCCAGCATTTTGAGAGTTTTATGTTCCTTTTGCGTTTATGTTAAACGCAGCTTTCTCGCGGCCTGTAATGATTTTTTAGCATTCTACGACAGGTCAATGGGTCAACTTTTTAAAATGATATAGTAAAATGTCTATACCAAATCGTTGGCAGCAGCTATTCTGACGATACACCCTCACTCATGCAGGTATCAGAGACTTCATTTTAACAGGTCACTCTGTTAAGACTTCCATCTGGGCCAGAGAGTGCACATTTCTCTGGCAAAGAGCAGCTGTAGAGATGATTTATTAATGCTGTTCAGTCACTCTGCCGAGTTTAATCTTCCTCACCTTTACCTCGGCGGTGTCGTCGCCGGACTCAAGGCTCCTGGCTGTCACAACGCCTATAAAGTGCGAGCCCAGCCCCTGCCCTATATCACCGCTCAATGAGCAGCTGTCCTCCTGGTTGTGGTCCCAGTGGTGTTGTGGTCTCAGCCTGGTCAAACACTTAGTCATTAGTCTAAAGGGCTGGGCATTGGGACACAGCCACCACACATCTCATGAAGAGTTATCAAAGAAATCTCAGCCTTGAGTTCCTCCTGGCTTTCTAGAAACATAAATGGCGTGATCTCACATTTCTTCTCATCTGCTATCCTTTTAAAACAATCTTTAAAGGTGTGCACAGTGCAGGACGTCTTACAGCTGATAAATAATGATGTTAAAAACTATATTATTTTGTCCCTCTTAGTTTTCACTTTGTGTTAATCTTTGGGAAGAGATTCAGGCATTATTTCTAATAACAAGCAGGTGGCGACTCCTCTGGTTGCCAAAAGCGTATGACGAAAATGACCCTCACTTGATTTATAACCTCAGTAAACATTGTACGCATGAGTTCATGGTCTCAATCGCTAGTGTCAAGTCTTCTTCAATACAGTAGGATGTTCATTTCGTAAAATATGGTCCCATTGAGAGTAGCACAGACAATAAAACTGGGTATGTTTTGGGGCCTGTCGGCTACCTTGTGATTGACAGGTCGCTACCACGGCGTTGTGCGTACTGGGAGCTGTCTGTGTGTTTAGACTGAGAACTTGAACCCTTTCACAGAGTGTTTTCAGGTCATTAAAGTTAATCGTAACCGTCACTACTGGTTGCAAACAAGATGGTGACGCCCAAAATACTGAATTCAAGGCTCCAAATAGCAGTTCCCAAACCAAAGAATGAGGTCACGGTGACTACATCCAACTATAGTCTTAATAATGCTGTGTGACACTGGCCTGGAATGAAACAGCCACTATGAGTCATTATACGTGTTATATTTCATACAGGAGGTCAATACAAGGCTTAGCTATTCAGTCCAGGTTGATCACAAGTTTTTAATTTGAAAAATAAGTTTGTCCCTTGTCCTGCTGTGCCCTAAAGACAGCAGCTGTTGGTTGTCCTCTGCTAGTAATGATAGTCATGGATGACAGGAACATTCCCCAGTAAATTTGTGTCAGTGCCAGGGCATCCATCCGTCCATCCATTAGTGAGCCTGTCGCCATCACCTACATCACCTACTGGCATGTGTCACCGCCTAATCCGTCTTGTATAGTGGAACACAGTCCTCCTGCTAATTTGTCATCAATTTTGGGTGTGTAGCCATTAGTTTTTACATGGCTTTCACACTGCTGATTGTGAAAGGCTGCCATGTTGAATGAACTGCTGTCTCTTCTTGCACATTGTGCTTGTCTCCATTGTCACAGTTCCCTCTGAAGAGCAGAGGGAAGAATGACTTTTTCTTTTTTCTCAAGCAAGCCTTTGTGATCTAACATTATTTAAAGCCAATGCGACTGACATATTTCTTAAACTTGGCACTTTGAACATCCGCCAGTGTGAGGTGTAAGGTTTGGTTTGCAGTGAAAGTACATTTAAGTGTTGTTTACAGTTTGAGCTACAGAGGAGTTTGTTACATTGCAGACCCGTCTAACTGATTCCAGATAGCGGCACCATAACACTGACAGCTGCTTTTGAATGACACATTTTTGGCAAACACACACACACACACACAAACACACACACACACACACACACACGTACACACCTCTAATCTTTCCTGTAACAGTAACATTTAGGACTTTCTACACAACTTGTCATGCAGTTTGAGAAATTGTGCAGCAAGTGGGACTTCTGCTGTTGTGATGGGAACACACAGAACAAGTTAAATATCAAACCTTCTAATAAGGAGACATGTTTTTATACCTTCACAACAGCCTGTTGGGTCGTTCATTGTTTGCACTATGGTTAGGAGCACCTGGTTCTATAAAAGAGCCTCATGTTGCTCGACTGCTACAAAACAATGCGGAGCAATCAGACGGGTGAACAGCAGGAAGCAGACAATGTGGGCTGGATTACTTTTGTTTTGTAAATATAACTGAAAAGATACTCGTTATGGGGACTTTTTATTTATCCTCATAAGACTTGCCTGTGGAGTCATCTCGATTTATTTCTTAAATTTCCAGATTTGGTCCAGCCCCTTGTTGTAGACACACACTGTACAGCTGAAGAATCCATTAGTCCATATCTGCATTTGCTATTTAATGCATGCTGTTTGCGTGGATGCCATCTGACTGGAGCTTTACACACTGCTAATACAGTGACGCAGGAAGACTCTTCATCTGCCTCTTTTTCATGATCTCGTCTCAAGCCTCGGGCAAAGCAAGCTACTGACTGTTATGCTGACCTTTCACTTAGTCTGAATGCTCTCTAGGCAAAGGCCGCCTCACGACTTAAATGAGTGTCGAATCGGTGCAGCTCCAGCCTCCGTGGAGTCTCCCCTTGACTCCAGCTCGTTTTGAACAAACACTAAAACCAACCAGGCCTGGCCTGTAGCTCATCTGTCAGCTGTTTCTGCAGAAACGCAGCTATAAAACAAACACAAACGGCAGTTCTGATGGGAATCGATTGGACTCAGTCGGCCTTTCTCTGAGGGCGATGCCCGGCTTGTGACACATGGGTGCGGAGTGTCAGGTTAATTGGGATGAACTGTTAATTGATTTCTCAGGGATTGGTGTGGTCTGTAGAAGCCTGTGGTTTTGCTTTTTAACGACTTGGATGCATTAGTCTGAGGAGACCGTCATGGAGAAAAGACAAGATATAAAGAATTCAGTAGAGGCAGAGTTAATGGTCAAACTGATATATTTTGTTTATTTATGAGTGTCTCTCATCAAGACGAATATGTTTTATTATTGCTAATGTTTGTTATCATAGTTGGTAACTATACTGTTGAGGAGAACACGGTCATGTCATCGGTATGGAAGGATTATAATACAATGGACCCCTGCATGGGCAAAGAAATGTAAAAGGTTACCCATAAGTCTAAACTTTTCAGCAAAATGCTGCTTTAAAAAGCAGAAGTTTAGAGTTAAAAGTGCTGCTGTTGGTTGAAAACTACACCTGAACTTCTGTATTTCTTTCATGTTGTAAATAAAGACCAGCTGTCTAAAGCCTGCATCCATATATGGGAATAAAGAGGAGTTCACATTCTACCATTGCATATGCTTTACACATGCTGAGGTTTTTAAGGCCGATTTGGATATTATATTCTGTCTATACACAATATCGCACTCAGCCGTCTGAAATAGATCAAAGATCCCTGAAGCGAGCGTGACCCCCTCCCCTCCCCATCTCATCTCTGCTCTCATCTCTTCCTCTGTGGTGTTACGCAGCGCTCGGCTCTCGTTTTTGCCCTTCTCCCTTATTCCAACTCCTGTGTGATCGATGCAGAGAACTGAACTGAACGAGGACTCGGCTCGCTGGATCATTAGCCCGATCTCCTAACAGGCTGATTATACAGGCGTGACGTTAATCCTCCCTATGATGTTACAAAGCTGCAGCAGATCCCGGTGACCCCTCCGTCTTAAAGACACGCCGGGTTCATTGATTTCAGTCAATTATTGAGTGCGAGGCCTTTTGAGAAGATCCAGAACATTTAGTCTGAATACATTTAGAGCTCCTCTGTGAATGTTGTGTTTTCCTTACCATATCTTTCCTCTCTTACAGGAGTCGACTTCAAAATGAAGACGCTAGTAATAGATGGTATCAAAGTACGGATACAGATATGGTAAGACAGTGGCATAGGATGCCTCGCTGGAAGGCCTTGTGCAGGAGATTAACAAAATGTTGTTAGATATTACACAACAGTAGCTCTGTTCGAGGGGATATTTTTCACTTGTAAGTATGCTGTCACTATCAGGATCATGTTCAGGGCTGTAGCTACCATTACTAACACTGCTTTTTTTGCTGCCTGGAGGAATTTTAAACTCTACACTAACTTTCATATTGATAGTATTTTGTAAACTGATTCCAGTACTTTTAGACTGTGTGTGTTTACATTTAACTACTTTTTTAGGTCAATTAAATACTAGTACTTTCATGCAGGAGACTGGAGTTTGTGTCACGTCACGGACCTGCTACTAGCGTTAGCTTTATTAAACTGTTCCTGAATTCTATTATAATGTATTTGTCAGGCGATGATGTTATACAATTAACAAAGATTCTCTGAGGCTGTACATAGATAAAGAGGTGAATTTGAGCACGTTCACGCTGACAATGCTTACATTTCGATGTTTAGCAGGTGAGCTTTACCAAGTTCAACATTTAATTTAGCCTGTTAGCGTGCTAACATTTGCTCATCAAAACTCAAACACAGTACTGAGGCCGATGGGAACGTCATTAGTTTTGGTCATGAACCATTTAGCCATTAGCTGTCGAGATGTCTCAGTCTGGACCAAAAGACGACAATGCCCTCCCTAAAGCCCCGCCGCTAGCATGGCTAAACAAACCACTTCAACAAGATACAGGGTTTACGGACAGTGACAGTGACAAGAAAATCTAAATACTTAAACGTTTTAGGTGTCAGGTCATTTTCAGGGATGGAGACTCATATATACTCAAATATGTGTATGTGTATGTTCACATTCATATATGCTTGTTGTCTTTCCAGGGACACTGCAGGCCAAGAAAGATACCAGACCATCACTAAGCAGTACTACAGACGAGCACAGGTAGCTGACCTCTACTCTAAAAACAAATTTAAATCAAATTTATTTCTGACATTAAATTAGTTAGAGCTACAAGATGTTGATATATGCCTCATACCTGGCACCGCTTCAGGTGCTTTAATGAACCGTTTAGATCAGGGGTCTCAAACTCATTTTCACTCTGGGCCACATCAGCGTCACGGTCGCCCTCAAAGGGCCGGTTGTAAATGCAAGACGGTGTAAATGTAATTTCTCCTAAGATATTGGTAAATAACTGTCTCTGCATTTGATTATTGTTTTTTCAAGTGTAAAAATATTGTACATGCAGTTATATAAATGTAAAAATATATTTAAGCACATTTCTGTTACAACTTAAATCCTTTTAATTTAGGGTTAATAAACTCACATTACTCTATCAAAGATCAAACTATTAAAGAAAATATCAAACACAAGTTATTACAATAACTTTGTTCAAAGCTTAAAATCCTTTCAAGGGTGCGTTTGCACAATCCCACGTGAAGTATTTCATGTGTTGTAAAGTCACGTTTAAAGGAGTCTTCATTGTACTCACAATACATTTACATTTCAAGTGTACAGTAACCAGCCAAAGAGCTGCTTCTAAGTATCTCATCATTTTGACTTTCTATCTCAGAATTATGACTTTCTATCATAGTTATGACTTTCTATCTCATAATTTGACTATGGAGATATTTTTATTATCAAGTCTAACTAAAAAATAAATATATATATATTTTTTTTAATTAATTTTTATTTTTTGCTGGCGGATTCGCGGGCGACATAAAATGACGTGGCGGGCCGGATTTGGCCCGCGGGCCGGGAGTTTGAGACCCCTGGTTTAGATGCTTTTAAAGGAAGCTCTCATGGATCAAAGTTGCGACATAGCAGCTTTAAAATGTGGTATTGTAAGCGTGGAGGATTTTGGGAGTAGCTCTCCAGGCCAAACACAACCACCACCACTCTGACATTCTTGTATGAATGTTGCATTTGATTTTGGCTGTCAAATAGGTCAAACTGGCTCAAATCAAATTGTCCATTTACCAGAAACTGGTAATGAAATTATGTCCGGTTCCTGTTTTGTGTTACAAAAATGCCACTGGCACTGGCAGGATGGGCCAGTGGCTTACAATGCAAAACACATTGTTGGAAGAGGCTTCCAACTTTCTAAGTGGTGGTCTGGTTTCTATACAGCAGTATTGATTTTTCCACTTGTATTGATTTTTAAAAAGCTGCTTTTAAGCATCCAGAAACCAAGAACCTTTTTAAGCATGCTTTAAAATGGACTGTTTCTCGTCTGTTTTAAAAAAAAAAAAAATCCTTTCAAATCCTCTTCAGGGAATCTTCCTGGTGTACGATATCACAAGTGAGCGATCCTTCCAGCACATCATGAAGTGGGCCAGTGATGTGGATGAGGTGAGTCACAGAGATTGGGGATTTACGATCAACAGGCAGCAGAAAAGGCAACAACTACTTACTGTGCAAGAGGCCTCAGCTTGACAAAGAACAGCTGCTGTGTTTATTATGTTCCATCTTTATTTTCAAGTATCTGTCGTCATATATTTTGTGCCAGCGTAGTCATTGGAAGGAGAACCTTTTTTCCTCTCGCGGTCACATTTCTCTTTCAGCTTCAAAGGCTTCAGGAAGCAATCTTGTCTGCCTTGCCTCCCCCTGTCGTTTCCCAGATGATTTTATTTTATTAAATCATGGACCTAATTTCCTCTATGGGTCTGTCTGAATATACACTCTGTTGATGTTGGCACACTTCCAGCTTACTTTTAATCTAGGTCTCATTTCCTGAGCGCTGTGTTTTCTCCCCTCTGCATTCTCTTGACATTTGAAATCTCTCTCTCTATCTCTTTAATTTTGTTTTCTTTATTCCTTTATATTCACACGACAAACCCCTGCAGTACGCTCCCGAGAAGGTCCGGAAGATCCTTGTAGGGAACAAGTCAGATGAGGTGGACAAGAGGCAGGTGGCCACCGAGCAAGGTATCAAGGTGGGTCAATCACTGGCTCTGTTACATAATGGATTGTTAGGATCCTTGGCATGGTTGGAAAAACAATGTTTTAAAACAATAATGTTTTAAAATACACTGTTCTGGTTTTCTTTGAGTTAAATTAGTTCACTGAAAGCTTGAAGCCATTAGGTGCAAGTTTGGGTTCTGTAAGAAATTAGGCTCAAAGTTCAACATAAGAAACTGGAGGCAGTTAGCTTAGCATAAAACCTGGAAGCAGCTTTCCTAGCTCTCTCCAGAGTTCAAAATGATGCCCTCCAGCACCTCTAAAGCTCACGCATTAACACATTATACCTTGTTTGATTAGATCTGCAAAAGGAAGACAATTTCATGTTTTAGACAGAAGTTATATGCTGTTACAAATGACAGTTTATCCATACAGGTGCAGTGCCCGATCAAAGAACCTCAAGAGCCGCTCATCCAAACAACTTCACTCAGTCGATCGGGTGAATGCTTGTCGAGAGAATCGAAGGACAGACAGACAAGACATATAGACAGAGACTCCTTCCATTTTCGTTAGATCCCAGCACTTCTGTGCAACCTCGCTGTCACTACAAAACTACAACATGTCAGCGGTATTGTTAGGCCTATTTTTGAACTTTGGAGAGAGCCAGGATATCTGTCTCCTCCTGCTTCTAGTCTTAAACTAAGCTAGGCTGACTGCCTCCTGGCTCTAACTCTATCATTATTGCACATGAGAGTGGTATCGATCTACTCTTGGCAGGAAAGTAAATTTGAAAAGCATATTCATCAAAATGTTGAACTGTCTCTTTAAAAGAGGTACTTATCCTGGGTTCCCCGAAAGCTTAGAATCATTTGTAATCATCAGGTCTGCGTTCCAAAGCTGACAGCCAGCAGATCTCACCGCACCTGTGCGAAAGGAAATAACGTGTCGGTTGTCTGTGCTTCTAATTAAAAAAGACCAAAGTAAATATGTCACTGTTGTCTATCTTGCAGCTGGCCAAGGCTTACGGAATGGACTTCTTTGAGACAAGTGCCTTCACCCACCAAAATATAACAGAGGTGAGGTGATCTGAACTCACGACATGTTATGACCACGTACAGAGTAGGAACACGAACAATGCAATGCATGCAGTCATGGCTCTATAATAGGAGGAAATCACTTGATCAGATTTGATTAAATTCAAATTCATTGCACTGAGGCAATGAATTTGAAGGACCGAGGCCCCAGTGAGAATTGAACTCACAACCCTTGTGTCAGTCTTCTAATCACTGAGTCATGAGGCCTTACCTTGAATAATGACGGCATCTTATCTCACTCAACCTGTGTCTGTGTTTCCCTCCAAGACTTTCACACGATTGGCTGAACAGGTGCTGGCAGCCAATAAAAAGGACCTGGATCTTCTCCGGATGTCCTCTAATGACGAGATTAATCTTGCTGCTCTGGAGGAAGAGGAAGGACTCTGTGACAGTGTGGCGGGCGATCAAGGCAAAGGCTGCTGGTGTTAAAGACACAATTCAAATCGGATAGTCTGTTATCACCAGACACTTTGCACACTCTAGGCAAAATGGGTTTATTTTTGTCGTTAGTTGAAACAAAGAGGAACACTGAGCTGCAATTTTTGCCTACATGTTCCTCCGTGTCACGTGCCAAAAATGCTAACGAGCCATTTGAGAGCAGTTTCAAGGACAAAGGTGGAAACATTTTGCCTCAGAGTGCCAAGTGTGTGGTGGATTAACCAACTGAAGGTCCAAATGTCAAGGTTTCCCTCAGTGGGACAGAATGTTCATTGTCTAAAAGCACTAATTCCTGCTCAGTTCAGTGTGTCCTGGATGGAACCAAATACAAATCCATGTCCTCTACCAATTCTGCAATTGACATAGAGTTGAAAGGACTTAACTCAAAGATGAGATTGTATCATCGTTTCTTACAGAATTTGTACAGCGTTCAGATATATACAATTTGGGAATGACTTGGAATCGTCCACCACTGACTTGAAACTTTTCACAACGTTGTATTTCACATTGTTTTCCGAGCGCTGTCGCTTATATTCATCACAGGGCCGGTTGCCTTGCAAATCAACAACGTGATTGATTCCATTTGGCCTTCATCCGCCCCTTCGGTGTTTTCCTTTTATGTGGGGAATCGGCACCCCTGCACACACAGCCTTTCTACTGTTGAATGCATTAGATGTAGTGTGAGCATTTGACCACAAGAGGGTGCTACGTGCATTGTGAAAACAATACACACACTGGAGCGTTGTCCTGTGTTAAATTATGCTATTTTGCCTTATTTTTTCCTTATGTGTTTGTTTTTGGTTGTAATTGCACTTGCAATGACCACCTTTTAATGCGATGAAAGGATTCTAAACATATGCAGCAATTTTATTATTTCCTTTTATTGCTTTTATGCAAATATTGGCTCAGTAAATACGTTTTGCCGCTGCAATATCATCCATGGAAGACCACACATACACTCTGACAATGACGCCTGTACCAGTCGTTGACTGAGGGAAACATTGAGAGCAAAATTATTCAATTTCCCTGTAGCAAAACTGAAGATGTTTTTCATTTTATAGTCTTTGTTTATTCCAGAAAATATCATATAGCACGGAGAGTTTGATAACAGCTCCTTGTCTTGCTCCATTGTACATAGCAGGTTTTTCAAAGCATTGTAGATTGGTAGAATCATGAGGGTACGACATTAATTTATTGTATTATTAGAGGGCTGTATAAAAAAGTCCACAGTGATATTCTGGTCCGAAATATTCCCTCTGTGAAGATAATAATGTTTTGGTCATTCTGTAGTTTTCTCGCTGTTTTGTACAGAGTCCAGTAGAGATGCCAGTTACCCCCCACACTTCAAAACGGGACAAGCGAGGGTTTTGCATGCGATCCACTCTTCTTTCCTTTCTTTTATTGCAACTTCAATGAAGTTAATCGACAACTGACCATACAAGCATTTGACCAGAGTTGCCTGTTTGAGACTTAAACAGAATCACCACCACTGGAAGACATTTGGCTACATTTTGTTTTTTTTTGCAACTTAGTAATACTAAATGCTACTCAAAACAGTTGTTAATCTGTGCACAGTGTGAAATGGCAGTATGTTGTACTGAACGATGTTCTGGACTAAGCTCTAGATACACAATGTATCTGTGTTGTTTTCGAGAACTACTTTTCTTTCTTTTAGACTACTTCAACTTGTATTTGTGGAAATATATTACATGCAACATGTGAAATGCAACATGTTATTCTCGGAGGAAAGATGTCAGATGTTTATGAGTAAATACTTGCAGAGATAAGAGCCGTCGTCCTGGTTGTGTCGAGACCCGGTGCTCCCTTGATATGAGACGGAGATACAGTACGGTATGTTCTTTGTATAACATCAGCACATCATCTACAATACAAAGGAAAGGCAGATGACTGTGCATATCCTCCACATTCATGCATTCACGTTGAACCAGTGTTTGAACATCATGGTAAACTCAAACCCAATGGTAGGCTATTTTGTGTCATATCACTCAACCTATGGATGAATATCATCATATGGTGGATGGGGAGGGGGCTTTTTAGAAACTTTTATGTCACTTCCTAATTTGACCACTCGATGACAGATTCACTCAGTTATCTTTGTTTTGTTTGTCAAAGTCGGCTTTTAGAGTGTAAGGCACTTGTGTCATAGTGAGAGAATTATTCGTCACTTATGGAATAACCACGAGTCACCACAAGATCATGCTATTGCCATCTGGTGGTCACATTTATTAATATAACTTCAATACTTTAGATAAACTAAGGTCCACTTTATTCCTAAACCCCTTTAAAACCTGGCTGCTTTAGTACCCTACACACAATGAAGTTCACACAGCAACGTTATAGTAATATGAATTTGTAATTCGTCGTCAGTGATGGTGTTTTCTCAGTGAGAACTAGAGGGGGAAAAAAAGCTGCAAAGCTTTTGTTCATCACCTCATCTGAGTTGTTAATGTTGTGAACTCATTAAAATCTCTCTGGGTGAAATTAGCATAATGATGAATATGCATGCTGAACTGTTTGTCTGGTTGTCAGATATGACAGCTCAGTATCTGTCACACGGCTGAGTGACACACGGACACACGTACAGAATAACAAGTCAACACGCACACTGACACATAGCACCCACACGCATCATCGTCATTTTCTGCAACACAATCCCCCACCACAATACTCCAGGTTTTGCAGCTGTCTGACATTCGGCCATATGGTGTGTGTGTGTGTGTGCGTGTGTGTGTGTGAGTGTGTGTTTGGGAGTCAGGGTGATAAAACTGTGTCTGTGTGTGGGAAAGTGGGAAAAAAAGAAGAACGACAGACAAGCTCTCTGATAAGGACAGGTACAGACTACAGTAAAGAAGACACAACTTAATACTCTTGACCTTAACGCCGTACAAGCTTGAACTTGTACAGTTCTGTCATTAAGGAGGTCCCCTGGCCAGCTGGCAACTAGAGTAAATAATTAGACATACCTGTGTAAGGTTAATTTAATGCAACTTTAAATCCCAAAGTCCTGACATCACCTCCAGGCCAGCCACACGCTTCTGTAACTCAATGAAAGAATGAATCGTAGCTGATATTAGCTGTTGTTTCTCCATTATCCACTACTATCCATTACAGTAGAAAGATTGCAAGTTTAAGGCACATCGCATCAGCTTCACTTTTCAGAACCGGAGGTATCCGCTTGGTTCAAACACTAGCTAGGCTACATGAAGCAACATTAGCTCTCATTTGGAGTTGTGTGTCAGGCCACCTGACAAACGTTTGTCCAATCCCTGCAGCCCTTTTTAGCTTTTGGTCTCGATGAACTTTGCATCTGGACAGCAGGGAGATGCTTGACTTTCGTCAGTAGCGCGTTACTAATTTTCTCTGGTGGACAGGCAGTGGAGGCAGAAATGATGAGAATCAGCAGGCCAAAACAACTAGCTAAAAGAGACTAAAAAGACGTAATTGTTCATTTCATTCATTGTTAATATAAAAAATGTTGATTGGTGCAGCTTTAGAGATCACAATAAATCAGTTCCTTCTATCTTCATAAGGTTGCTTTCTTGGCTTCATGGCTGTTTTCTCGTGATATGACAAATCATTCTGTCATCACCATTGTTTGAAAAATAATGACAGACCGCTCTGCTCATGAATATTTGATCGTGAAATTATGCTTTTGCGATAATGAATAATCCTGCTGTGTCGAAATGACAACATTATCTGTGACCACAGGCAAATCTAAACATGAGAAAGAAATAATCACATATTAGTATAATGGTTCGCTAAATATATGTGGGCTATGATTTGCTGGGCAGCAAGATGACATTGTCAATGCTCAGTGTCCAATTGTAACAAATCATTAAATTAATCCTATTGAGACGACAACATAGTACATTTAGAGTCACAATCAGTTTCTCTATGCGAAAGCCACCAGAGGCCCTACACTCCCACTCCTAATCCCGAAATACCTGCAGGTATTCACATACTGTATATGTGACATCTGATGAAGAGACATATGAGACTGATGATGAGACAATCTATTTCTAAAATATATGTGTGAATGTGAGTGTGAATGATGACTTCTGGCCGAATGTCAACTGTGATAGCTCCTACTTCATAGCAGGTGAGGCTGGGAAAAATCACATCCAGCACCCGGACTATCAGCACTGTCGCCCCTCAGGGATGTGTGCTCTCCCCACTGCTCTTCTCCCTCTACACCAACGACTGCACCTCAGAGGACCCAACTGTTAAACTCCTGAAGTTCGCAGACGACACAACGGTCATCGGCCTCATCAGGGGCGGTGATGAGTCTGCGTACAGACGGGAGGTTGAACAGCTGGTCCTCTGGTGTGGTCAGAACAACCTGGAGCTGAACAGGCTCAAAACTGTGGAGTTGACAGTGGACTTCAGGAGGAGCCCCCCAAGACTGCGCCCCCTCACCATACTCAATAGCACTGTGTCTGCGGTGGAGACCTTCAGGTTTCTGGGATCCACAACCTCCAAAGACCTGAAGTTGGCCTCCAGCATCAACACCGTCAGGAAAAAGGCCCAGCAGAGATTCTACTTCCTGCGCCAGCTCAGGAAGTTACACCCTGGAGACAACCTGTTCCAACTCCTCCCCTCTGGTTGACGCTACAGAGCACTGTACACCAAAACCACCAGACACAGGAACAGCTTCTTTCCGCTGGCCGTCACTGTGATGAACAATTAATAAGAGAAACTGCACTACTATCTCCATTTGCACTACTTGGGGTGACCATGGCGCATGGGGTAGAGAGGGTTGTCCACTGACCGCAACAGTTGATCAAACAGATCAAACAGTTGACAGTTTGATCCTTGGCTACGTGACGAAGTGTCCCTGAGCAAGACACTGAACCCCTGACTGCTCCCCGGGCACTTCTCAGCAGCCCACTGCTCCCTACAGGGATGGGTTAAATGCTCGGAATAAATTTCCCCACTGCGGGACTAATGAAAGATTTAATAATTTGATTTATTTATCACCTCAAACATTCCTCTTGTTTATTTGTAAATTCTATGTATTTTGAGACCAAAGTCAAAACCGGAGTCAAATTCCATGTATGCGTACGCAGCTGAGTCTGATTCTGATATTGAGTGAGAGGTCAAGAGAACGAATGGATGGTTTTCTGAATGTTTTCAGAAAAATATATACAAATCAATTCATAAAATAAAAACACGAAGAGACATATGAGACATCTGATGAAAAGACACATGAGACATCTGATGAAGAGATGAGACATCTGATGAAGGGATGCCTGGCAGCTTTAATTAACTGCTCTAGCACCCTGCCAAGCCAGAACCAGACACCCACCCCCCACTTCCCAGTATCCTGGCCAATGCCTCCATTACAAATCGAGCTGTAGCATTATCTTCTGAGCGAGCCAGAAAATCTGTGGAGAAAATAGACTCTAAATCACACATTCAGATGTAGCAGTGTAGGTGGAAGGTTTCTTGTACAGCCAGATCTTACATTGAATCATGTTGTCCTCCATCTTCTCATGCCACCTGTGGTTGCACTGTGCTTTTTTTAACTTGGGTTCTTGAGAACCAACTCCATCTATCCTTAACAATATCTGAAAAACAAAAGGAGTAGGAATTGGTTGCCTGCTTCAGAAACATCTCCCTCCAAAATCAACAAACAATCCGCCCAACTTTCTTGTTGTCATCAAAGCTTTAAGTGTAATTCTTCAGTTCATATCCAGTGCTTTCCTTTAGAGACATGGAGACCCAGCAGGCAGCTGTTTTCAGCAGACAAAAAGCTCTGTGCGCTACCTGTCCAGGACAAAGTATTGGACACATAATGTTAGCGACAAGCTGATGAACATAGTTGAGCGTATCGTAGCTAAATAGACAATTATTTTTCTCAGGAGCTGGACCAAATCAGAGACAGAAGAGTCCAAATCAATGCCAATGAAGCTCCGTCTCCTGGATGATATGCTACTGTGGCTAACTGTTTGCTAACATTTTGGCATATCAACTTTATAAAGTGATATTAAGCCTGTGCACAAATGTGCCAATCGTTAATAAATATTTCTTTAAATATAAATCACATGATACATTTTCTTCTTTTGACTTTTCTACTGCAGCCCAAAATAAATCATTTCTGCTCGATATTGACATCAACACAAGTGAACAAATCTCTCCAGGGTCCATGGTGTTATTATTTCTGCCCACTTTAATGTAGACTAACAAAGCTAGGAATCAGGGGACTCCAAGGAGCACTTTAGAGCAAAGCAGAGCCAGTTCAATTCAAATGAGTCACCTCTCTCATGCCACCTTTGTATGCACAAAGAAACACAGCTGACTGCTCTGATTACATCACATCACAGGTAACCACAAAGTCCTTAAAGCCGCTCTAATCAATATTTCAAAGGGATCAACAGTGAATGTGTGACGTGAAAAGGGTCTCTAATAGCAATAGACCCCACTCAGCTCTGCAATGCCCCTTTTCTCTAAAGAGCTTTGGAGCATCCTCTAAATCATTGTTTTGGTTTTATGGGATTTTGAACATCTACAATTCCATGATAACTAAGCAATTTCTATCCGCTAATGAAGACCATGTCCTATATGATTAAAAGCTCCAGAACAGCTACGAAATTGACTTGAGCTGAGATCGTCTTGTCGAAAGCGACCATCTTTGCATGACTCGAGCGTGTTTTTGTCTATTTTTAGTCAGCCAAGGAAGACAGAAAAGCTTGTCGGGAGCATGGTGAAATGTGTTTTTGTTGGTGAATCACTGCATCAGCAACTTGTCTCACAGATCAAGCTTGAA